ATGAATTCTTCATCGATGCTTTCTTTAGACATCGATGGTACAGTGGGAATCACAAGCGTGATGGTCCCTCACTACTTCAAGCGTGGAACGCCTACATCCATAACCTTGAGGATGTAGGTCGTGACGTTTGGAACGACAAACTTATCAAAGCTCGTGATAAGTTTGAAAAGAGAACCCCGACAGGTGCACCCTACAAGCTGCATCGTCTGTCTAGGGAGAAAGGGTTACCCTGCCTTTCCTGGGGAGACTCGTGCGCATGTTGTGTGAACAGCTCAGCGCGCGCACCTAAGGAGGCTTACCTCCCTAATAGCCCGTGGTGGCGCGCAGGGATTGAAAACTTGAAATCTTTTTACGACCGTTCCGGGAAGACTTTCTCCAGCAGTCCTTCTGCGGCACAGGATATGCCGCATCGTACTGCTCAACCAGACCCAGTACGTCAACCATCAGTTGGGAGCGGGGCTCCCAAGTATCCCAAGACGGGGGATAGCCGCGCCACCGGACGAGATAACTCTTCCGACGTCTGTTCACGTCGCGGTGGTTCAACAGCTGCTCAACTAGATAGCGCTGTCCACCGCGAGAGTCCTCTAATGGAGGTGGAGGAGGAGGAAAGACGCTCTCCACACGATCATGGGGATCCGTGTGTTCCCGAGAGCTTCTTTGATCGCGTAACGCAAGGGTTACGCGGCGATCTCGAACATGAGCGGGACAGGCGTCTCCAAATGTCGGACACTGTCTCGAAGCATCGAGCTGAGTTTGCCTTTGCTCAGCTTGAGAACGAGAGAGCTCTGGCATCTCTTCGTGACGAGCTAAGGGTAGCTCGTGGGATGGTTGATCGGTCTCTGGATGAGATAACTGCTCTTCAGACCTTTGTCGATGCCCACCATCAGGAGCACAAGGCTCTCTGCGAGATGCTTGAGCGCAAGGGCGTTCTTCATCGGAAGAAGCAGCGTACTGATGGTACGGCTTAAGCCGACCAACGTAAAACGTGGGATGCGTTCGCATATTACGTGGCAACTCGATCGTGTATGCATTGCCTAGGCGGTGCAATACACGAAATGGGCCGATGTTCTTGGGTAGTAGCTTACTGCTACCCAAGTTAGTCACTACACGCTTTGGTAGATTAACCGTAGACAGTGGGACAAAGTCACCTATATTAAATAAAAGAGCGTTTGCCTTTCCATTCTTGTCAGCGTTTTGCTTTTGCTTATCCACCGCTTCGGCGATGGAGTCTTGCACAAAACGGACTGCCGTTTCACGAGCCAGTATGAACTCATCTGATGACTCGTTAGCTTCAGTGCGCTGTGATTGCACTGCAGCAACATCAACCTTTTCTTCAGTGAGGGCTTCCGCACTCTCACTGGCATCATCTTCTTCGATATCGATGTTATCGATATCGGCATCAAACGCAATGACCTCTTCGTCAGAGCGTGATGAGCGTGAACCAAATCGGTTTTTGCTCGCGCGAGTCCCCCCCCCTTAAACCAGAGTTACACTCTAGTAAGGTGGGTACACGCGGATGGCGTAAGCCATTCACGTAAAACGGTGTATGTGTCGTGGACGCATGCACCGAGTTGTTAATGGCAAACTCTACCATTGGCAAAAACTCACTCCAACTCTTAAAGGAGTGTACGTATCCTCGAAGTATCTCTTCAAGGACACGATTGGCACGTTCCGTCTGACCATCTGACTCTGGATGATCAGATGTCGACATCTTCAAGCGCGTTCCGAGTGATTTGAACACGGAACGCCAGAAATCAGCAGTGAATCGTGGATCTCTGTCTGATACGAGTTCACGGGGCAGCCCATGAAGTCGAAAGATGGTGTCGATAGAGGCACAAGCACAGGCACTTGCTGTGATTGACTCCGGTACAGCCACTAGGTGTACCATTTTGCTGAATCTGTCAATATCACGAGAATACCCGTATTCCCGCGTGCGTCTTTGGGTAACCCGAAGACGAAATCCATTGAGATGGATTCCCAGCACTCAGCCGGAACCGGTAGAGGCTGTAAAGGTGCACGCAGTGAAGGACTTGACTTCACTCGTTGACAGACTTCGCATGCGCGAACATACTTTCGCACAAACTGATACTGGCGGGGCCAGTAAAAGTCTCGACTTACCGTGAGATATGTTTTCTCCCGGCCACGATGTCCTCCTATAGGAGCATCGTGATACTCGAACATGATCCGCAAACGCAGATCAGTATCATCTGGAATGACAACACGTGGTGTGTCACCAGAAACGGCTGTATAATACAGTAACCCGTTGCGAGTAGTGTATCGATCTGATGCAGATCGATACGCAGACGACAATCGTTTCAACGATTCTCGAGATGGCTGTGAGAGATGTGTCAACAACTTCACAATCTCACCATCTTGGGCGTATGCCCGCCTCACATCATCATACAACGTTGTAGATGGGACTGAGGACGTCATTACCGCATCAGTGGCTGTCTCACTGTTGGATTTCACGACTGTTTCAAAGTCGGGACGACGTGAGAGTGCATCAGCGACGACATTAAGTCGTCCTGGTTTGTACTCGACCGTAAAGTTGTATTCTGCAAAGAATGACAACCACCGCGCCATTCGTTGTGAAAGGTGCGGGCTGTTCACTGCCGTACGTAACGACGCATGGTCAGTGTAAACAATGAAGGGTCTATCTCCTAATAGATAGACTCTGAACTTCGCGAGTGCATACTTCATGGCAAGGGGTTCCTTGTCATGCAATGATAGTTCCGCTCAGCTGGTTGCAGCTGACGCGACTGATAGCAGACGACGCGTTCAACGCCTTCAAGATCGTACTGCATCAATGCACAGCCGATTCCGAAATCGCAGGCATCACAGGCCACATGAAATGGCCTGTCCTGATCGGCTATTGCTAGGACTGGGGGTTGTATCAAGCTCTGCTTGATACCATCATAGGAGCGCTGACATTCAGCGTTCCATAACCACCTCTCGTTCTTTTTCAACAAACGAGAGAGGTGCACAGTCATCTCGGCGTAATTGCGTGAATACTTATGCAAATACGCCGCTAGCCCAAGGATTTTTCGAAGACCTTTGAAATCAAATGGCACAGGCCAGTCGGTGATCGCCTTGATCTTTTCGGATACAGGACGTACACCGTTCTTACCAACGATGCACCCAAGAAGTGATATTTCGCTTGCTGCAAATATACACTTCTTGAGGTTTGCATACAATTGATGCTTTCGCATGATTGTAAGAACCTGTCGGACGTGGTACCTGTGAACCTCAACGTCCGACTTTCCATCCATAGCTCGACTATGGATGAATACGTCATCGAAATAACTCGGCGCGAATTCTCGTACTGGTCTCAACAGATGTGATACACATCTGTTGAAAGTGGCAGGGGCATTACTAAGCCCTTGTGGCATTACTAGCCATTCCCAGAGCATGCCGCTAGGCGTGCAAACTGCGGTATAGGGTATATCCCGTTCTCGCATAAGATTTGATAGAAGACATCCATCAAATCCATGGACGAAAAGATGGTACTCTTTGACATGCCATCAATGATTACGTCCTTCCTCGGTATCGGCGTCTGCGCCGGTACCGTTGCAGCATTCAACTTGTTAAATGCATGCACTATCCGCCACCCTCCTGTTGCTTTTCGCACACAGAAGGTCGGAGAGCTATGTGGAGAAGTTGATTCCCTCACATGGCCCGCAGCTAAACGATCGGCAAAGAACTTGTCGATCGCAAGTACTTGTTCACGAGGCAGTGGCCACTGCTTCATGACACAGTACTTCGAGCCTGGTTTAAGCTCGACCTCGTGTCGAATACCTTTATCCTTCGGTAATTCGCACGGAACAGTTTCAGGGAATACATCCTTGAATTCAACCAAATCTTCATAGAGAGGATTTGTCTTGAGCGATTCCCACGATTGGGAGTCATATCGCTCAACTCGTGTCTTTTCATCGAGGACACTCTCGTCCATAGATGAACTACTGAGAACTCTCTCGTTCTCAGTAAACACTGTTGCTGACCTTATGTCGGCTACACACTCGTCGTCAGCGACGAGTACGCAGATCTGCTTGACTTTGCCACTACGCAGATCACGCAAGAACCTTTTATGTTCGAGCGTTGGCAACTGAGTGATCTCCGAAGTCAACTTCGGAGGCGCAATCAGATCAAGTGTATAAGCGCCTACACTTGATCCGTTATTGACTATGACATTCAATGTCTCTGTCATTTCCTGGGGACTTATTCCCTCAGGCCTCGAAGGACTTATTCCTTCGGCTTCCCGGGGACTTATTCCCGCGGGTTTCGGGGAACTTATTTCCGCCGTATTTGTAATCTTGGGACTTATTCCCTTTACTTCCTCTAGCTGGGGTTGCGCAACCACAGCGAGATCCTCTACGAAAGACTCTCCAGTCGATCTAGGATTATCGTTTCGCTTAACCTGAGCGATCGATTGTTTCTCTTCTAGATGTTCCCCGCTAGGGATACATCTTTGTCCCAGTCCACCCGACTTATTCGAGTGGTGGACCTTCGGCGCAGCCTGTGTTTCCTCACAGCCGCCGGAACTTTGCTCCGAAGTGTAACCGTTTGGTACACTAAGGTTTTGCGCAGTCGTACTAACGACCGTACCACAAGTGAGGCCATCGCACTCACTCGCAGTACATCCACACGCTTGTGGACGCTCCAAAAACGTTCATCAGATGGCCATCTGATGAACAAGCGGCAGGCATCGTTACTGTTCGATGTTGCCAGTTTACCCGTGGTTCGTACCTTCTGAGCCACGGTATTCCAAGGATGACATCAAATTTGTCATCCAAATCCAATACGATAAAGTCATCTTCATATTGGGTATCTTCTAGCGTATAGTGGATCTTCACTATACGCTTCATGACGGTTACGGATGCGCCTGTCGCAAGACGTACCGTCATCCTCGTAGGAGGTGTGTCACATTCACTGAACTTAAAGTGACCATCTTCTAGCGATTGGCGTCGCACAAAATTGTTGGACGCCCCACAATCGACTAGAGCTCAAAGGGACAACTTATTCGTCACTTCGAATTTCAAGGTAATGAGTGAGATCTTCTTACATAGAGCAGCAACGCACAACGTTTGTGTGTTGGGAGCAACCTTCATCAAGAGGCCTACAAATTCTCTTGACGTTGCTGGACCAGTAGGGTGCTCCGCACCTACTGATCCTGTCCGTTTTTTTGACGGTCCATCCCGTTGTTGCGTCTTTGCACCAACAGCGGACCCGCGTCCCTGCCCCTTTCTCATGGGTGGACGGTCACTACGCCCAGTGTTGCGAGACACTGGACGAGGGGCACTACACTCGTAAGCGTAGTGTCCTGTCTTCTGACATCTGTTGCATTTCTGCAACTTCTTGTAGTCTGTAGAGCGAGCCTTCTCGCTCTCTACATAACAGAGTTCCATCGGCTCTGGACCTCCGCTGTCATATCGTCTCGGTTGACGATATGATGTCGAGCTGGCGCGAGCCTGTCTCAGACTGAAGTCTTCCTGATCCACAATGGAAATTGCTTGTTCTAGTGAATCTAGTTCAAGTCGGAACAGGTGAGTCTTGACGGGACCATCCGCAAGACCCTGCATGAACACCGAAACCAACGTGTGTTCATCAACCGGGTTGGAACTTATACAACTCGTGAGATGTCGTATATGTTGCGCGTAAGCGTGCACATCACGCTTACCCTGCTTGAGCTTCAAGAGTTCGGTTCGAGCTCTGAACTCAGCTCTAGGCGGTTCAAACGTTTGTCTGAGCCGCGACTTGAAGACTTCCAACGACCCAAACGCAAATGGGTCGTGCAACTTGAGCCCCAGTGCCCAAGTCTTGGCACGTCCTGCCAGATTTGACTGGGCAAATGCAACTTGCATTTTTTTCCCGTCGTCGATGCGACGCGACCTTATGGCGTCATCCAATTCGACAAACCATCTCAGGAGGGAGTCCTCTTCGACTCCCCTATACTTGGAGATGTCAATCTTCAGGGTTTCGGGTCGACGCGAGTGCATCGACCCACCAGCAGCAGCCTGCTGCTGTCTCAACAGTTCAAACTGTTGAGCACCCTGTTCTCTCAACAACTATGCTTGTTGAGAACCTTGTTGGTGAAGCAAGGCTACTTTCTCGCGTTCTGCGTCAAGTTCATTTTGAATGAACTTGGCGATAGTAGCATGTTGGGCATCTCTATTGAGAGCCTCTAGCATGACGCTAACAGCATGGATGCCCATGGTCGAACCCATTCGTTCAACCGCATCCCATTCAACATCGCTCAAATGGGAGTAGCCGTCACGCGTAGCGTGAAAGCTTTGGTCATCTTCATCATCCAACATATTCATGTTGGATGTGAACGCGGTCCTTGGACGGACTACGAAGTGCTACCAGGTGTAACGGGGCACCCTGAAGCTTGTACTGGTGACAGTACAAGCTACTTATTCTGATGACAGAATAAGGCGGTGCCTCGGAACTTCACGTACACTCGTACGTGCAGAGGAAGACGGTAAGGAGATGCGAGTACTTGCTTAAAGTAAAAAGTAGAACTGTATTTAGTATTGTTAATGTCTGTAATAAACCCCCTGTTTATCCTCATCTAACTATGTCTGAATACAAATGTGCATATCAACTATCTGCTCACCACTCATTGCGTGCGTCTGTCATGGCGCGTCTTCGTTGGTTGATACAATGGCCTATATCAACCAATTAGGAACTACTCGTAAGTGCTGCAGAATATTTGTCCTTATGACAATATTCTGAGAATATAACTCTTATAGTTATATTCTATTAACAATTTCTTATAAATTGTTATGTAACGATTCGCCCCGTTACAACTACTCAGTCTGCGCATGTCTCGGAACCCCATAATGAGCTTGACCAGCAAGCCTAAGGAATCTTTATGATGTATCAAGATACCTGTAGAACGAAGTGTTTTTTTACGAATTGTAGGAGTTGGTGATGGCATCCACCTACGATGACTCGTCAATGAAATCCAGGCTTGCTACCACTTCTACATCTACATAATCAATTTGAAACCGAGCGCAGAAATCCTAGATCAAATACAGTTAGAACGGCTCCAAATCGTTGATCGTTGGTATGGTACTTGCCATTTACGTAAACAATTATGTTACAAGATCATATAGGTGTTGGCTCGGCATCTTTATTGAGAGATCGACTCAACACATCGCTTGATACGATTACAAAAAGTTAATGCAGCCAGCTGCGACGACATGGGGACGACGGCTGTCTCATGAGCACTGTATGTTGATTGATTCAAACGTATCTGTCTTGTAGTAACCCGCCTTGGTCTCCATTTGGTGGCTGTGACGTAGCCATCCGGCATTGTTAGCTCGTCTAGCTTGTACTATTGTGGTACGTGAATTCAAAAACCGTGAGAATCGAGTAAAGACGTCTATGCTTCTACAAACAACAAAGATTTGTTGACGTGGGCGGAAAGGAAAGTAGCATGTAGCTGGTGAAGTCTGGAAGAAGTGCTACTTTAGAATGTACTAAAATTAGAGGTCTTCAGATCTAATTACTTGTGTAATGCATGAGGTCTGAAGGCCCTTAGCGGGAACATAAGGCTATTACGGGCTCCAATGATTGATAATCGGTAACCTGCTCGGGTGCATCTTTCGGCAATACTGTCACTTTAACAAAGAGTGTCGGTAGACAAAAAACGATGGGACACGGGCGTCTAATGGTCACTTCTATAATGGACGAACGACTGATTGGCCTCTTTTTCATGTACTTCATTGTTAGCTACATTCATTGTGTAGATGCGGCTTCTGTTGGATTCTGTTGTTGGCGTAGTGCGGGACTCTGTGTGATTCATCTAAATTGTTACAAAGTTTTGTAAACGTGCAGTTTCTGCCGCGCATACGAACAGCCTTATAGCGTCAAACGAAACTGCTGTCATCTGGCAACTGCGAATACGCTTGTACGCTTTAAGATAGGGGAGCAAGCCCTGGAGCTCGCCCTTAAATAGAAGTAATCCAATTCATAGATCTGAATCAAGTTGCAAAATATCATACAACAGCAGTGACTAAAGACGACATACGATGATGTTAATGAAAGAACTTACCTAGCACATACAGTGTTACTTGAGCAACGCGATCAGCCTTTGCTTATGAGCGTCTAGTATTTGCTCATATGATCATATTCATTTTTTGATCGAGTTCAAGCCAATCACATGCGTGCATCACAATATTGACCCAGCCAAAGAGGAAGACACCTATCATGCTAATCGACCTAGAAGGGGGGGACAACCTAGATCGTATTCAGTGCAAGTAAGGTACACCTAACCGCGTTATTAACAGACACACACGGACACTCACAGTGAAGTATGATCGAAAAGCTCAGCATTCAGCCTTGCGCACACTCACTAATAGCTTCACCCTTCGGACTCGCAATTGATCTTCGCTTGTAAACGAGTTCGACCTCGATTGTTTGCAACACATACATCCCCATCCGCCATTACAACGATCGTACAGACGAACAAGCTTTCGTGCTACGATAATGGATACATCACAATAGCGTATACACCGATGTAGCCACTCGTATGAAGCCGAGGGTGTCTAGCTCTGTGTACGCTAAGCAGACATCTAAATCACTCGCCGAGCACGTTACGTGATGTCTAGCCCCAGAGATTCGTAGATCAGGTTGAAGTCAATTGTAGTCCGCACGTTTGGTGCTGTCGTATTCAAAAGCTGGTGGCAAACGCTGCAAATCGCGACTCCCGCCGATCAGGTTCGGAGCGCATCGCATACCCGCGTCTTGTCTTAAATTGCGACAATCGTCTCTGGCACGATGCGCCGGACCAGATTCAGGTCCAGTTGAAAGGGGGGGGGACCTTGAGGTGCTTTTTGTAGCACGGACGAGCTTGGGGTCCTGAACAATACGAGATCACCGGACACCCGCACGACACACGTTGCGATTGGAAAGGGCAGATGCATTCCAAAACAACACACTCGATACACGTAGGACTTTGTCGTGTTTCGGTCAATTACTTTGTTGGGGGGACCGTTTGGCCTCGACAAACTTCACATAGTTCAAACGAAGATTCTCGTACGCTTCTTCGAGGTCTCTGCTGGCATGCCGAGATAACCCGAAAGAGATCTCCTCAGCTGAGCGCCCTTCATCGTACCACTGATTGAACAGCCTATCCATCTTTTCCGGGTTCGTCAGCGCTCGATGGAGTAAATGCTCCAGGAACACCTGTCCGTCCAGCGGGTCTTTGACCCAGTCACTGTGGTGTGGGGTTCCCTCGATCGGAGAGTCCAAGTCAGACGCTCGCAGACGTCGGTTGATCTCCTCGACGGCAACAGCAACGGGAGCCGGATAATCCGTCGCCCGAAGTTTCGTGCTACCCTCATTAGCGGCAGCTGTCGTCGAGATGGCCTTGGTGCTCGAGGCAACAGCCACCAGTAGGAGGAAACGCAGGTGCATGATGATCCTAGCGACGTGCTCTGACCGAGTGAGCGATCGACCGCGAATTGGAAAATGAATCTCGCGGTCCGGACTTCGATTACGGGCGAGCACTGGCATCGCTAGACAGGACACTTGCATAAAACGACCTGATGTTGGATGGGGTGGATAGGAACGGCTCGGTCGTATACAGCCTTCTTGACGACCGCGTCATCAGATTATCGTCGCAACAGTCTGACGAATGCAAATGTGACTTTTTGTCTACATCAAGGTGAACATAAGTGCTATTTATCGCTGGAGCAGTCAAAGCCTCGATATAGCTAGATGCGCTGGTTAGTCGAATTGCTTGGCGATAAGCTCGCTCAGGTAAGCAATGCAGCTCGCCCCACGGCACACTCGAGGGCGAGCATTTAGCACTGTATTGACGTGATTCCTCCTAGGAATTACAACCTTGAGGTCAGGAAGAGCTACACGTTAAAACTCGACGGCAGCCGGTCACACTAGGTAACACCTCTGGACGTAGATCAGGCGAGAAGCTGACACCTTTCCGCACCTATTCCCGTAGAACGAGGTGTCTCGATGGAGCTTTCTACACATCAGAGAGATTTATGCCGCGCGGTCCTTCAGATCACCCTGGGGTGATTTGCGAGTACTCTGACTCAGTTTGAACTCCTTACAGGACCCGCACCCCTCATTACACTATACGGCTTTTCGGCTTGTAGGGCCTCCGGACGGCACCGGCCACCCATTGGTGGTTGCTCGTCTACATTATGCTTTCTACACATCAGAGCGTACTCTGTAGAGAACTTGGTATCATTGAAGCTAATTCTAAGACACTACTGTTGTGTTTGCTGCTGATTGCACGCAATGTTCACCAAAGGCGGCACCCTTCCAAATCATCAGACGGAAGTAAGTCGTGACCGCTCGTCTGCAGGTGGTTGCAGTACAGACACGTGTATACTTACGAAGATGTCCTGACTTGTGCCTCCGCATCTGCAGCCTCAGACGCGGCATTCCGCACGGACGTTCTGGCCTTTCGTAGTGAACCAGCTCTGAGCAAATGGCATACGCACATGTCGCGTTTCATAAGAGACCTACAAAGGTCGCCGAATCGGCTCGAGAGGACGGAACACAACAAACTTGTTGGCAGTCGGAAGAAGACAGAAGACGTCAAGTCCATGTGCATTGTGGGTCTGCAGCTTGGGACATTGTCAGTCACACTTTACGCGGATATGCGTACAGATCCAAGCCCCTCATGTCCGTGAACACGTTCTGCCATTCTCGATTATCATGAATGAATTGTGCCCGCCAACTGCGCTTTGAACATGTGCCGTAGAGCTCGCCCGAAGCAACGTGGGCACTGTAGCACGACTGGTCGAGATTCTAGCATACATCAACCACTTGGCATCCGTAATGACAGAAAAATGAAATGCTGAGCATCGCAACAAGCTAAACTGAAAGCGTGTTGCAGTGTTTGCGGCAGAAGGTCAATGTACAAGCACACTGCGTAGATGCGCTCGCACGTTGACGGTATGAGAAAACCCAAGCCTACTACCGTTTATGTAAGCATGACATTGATGCACTAGCAGAACACGTCGTTCGTCACAACAGGTTGCCTTTAGATTCAAAACAAGTGTGTACATAGTCAATCAAGACATGCTTCGCAACAACCGGAAGTCCGAGGATGTCGTAGTATTCCGATTTAGACGGTTGATAGACAGTCAAGTGTACGCGGAGGGAAGCGATCAGCCTCAAGATTCGATACGTGAGTTAGCGTGCGTTAAATGAATAGAGGCGGACACACAGTCAGATAGAACGACAGGCAGGCCGATAGACAATCAGACCAGCAATTGACAGAAGGACGAAAGATGTCACGCTATAATGTCGCGAGGGAGAGGTCTGTTACGCATCTACTCATTTTTATTTTACAATCGAAATGACCGCCTCAGCCAACTCTTCATACAGTCAATAAAAACCGAGTCAAAACTAAACATAAAGTCCCTATTAAATGAGAAATAAAATCTGTGCCAAAAAGAGGATGTAGCAGTCGAAGCAATTATCCGACGCCGCTTCTATCTCGTCGCACAATCACCACGCTCTTCCCTCCTCTTTAAATAAAATCCGTACTCAAAACATCTTGATTTATTCGCGACACTCGAGCAAGAAAAGCTCGATGTTTTCCGTTTCTAACGCTTTCGATCCACCCAGTGGCTGCGACCAGCTCCTCGCCGCCTCCAATGGCATGCGACCGCCCAAGCACCGGCCGCTCCCCCGGCGTCTCCCTCGCACACCCAAGCGCGACGGCCACTAGCGCTGTCCCTTCTGTGTCTCCCGCTCTCCGTGCGCTGTGCGCCGGTGCCGTCGCTGGCGTCGTCGCCGACTCGCTGCTGCATCCTCTGGAAGTTATTAACTTGCGCATGAAGCTCCAAGCGCGGCCGAATATCAAGTATGACAGTCTCTTCCGCTCCATGCAGACGATCCTCAAAGAAGAAGGCGTGCGTGGCTATTTTGGAGGCATCGGCACGACGTTCTTGACGTCGCCCGTCTGTGCAGCTCTCTATTTCAGTACGTACGAGACTCTCAAGGCCACAGCCGCTCCATTAATGTCGGAAGAGCATCGGGGCGTCATCTATTTCCTCGCGGGAGCAGCAAGTGAAGTGCTGATATCAGCTATCAGCGTCCCGTCTGAAGTGATCAAGTCCCGCTTGCGGCTGGGGCGTAACCCCTGCAAGGCCAGTGGAGGCGCGGTCAAGTATACGCGCAATTACCGGGGCACGGGTCATGCAGTTCAGTCCATTGTACAGTCCGAAGGACTGCGGGGACTCTATGCTGGGTACTCGGCGTGTCTCGGTGTCGACACGTTCTTTTCGGCGTTTTCGTTCTTGTTCTACGAGACGCTGAAGCACCGGTACGAAGAGTACTTGGCTGCAACGAATAGAGGCCGACCGCTGAACTCGGCCGAGTCCCTCGTTGCTGGGTCGATCGCTGGTGGCATGGCTGCGTTCTTGACGAACCCGTTGGATGTTATTACAGTGAGATTGATGACGCAGGGCAAGACGAAACAGTATGCTGGCGTGCGCGACTGTTTCATCAAGTCGATGAGCAAGGAAGGGCCGAGGGTTTTGTGGCGAGGCACGGCGTGTCGAGTGGTCTCCATCATGCCTACTACGGGTATCTGCTTTGGCGTGTACGAGACGATCAAGCACGCGGTCTATAACGGGGACGTAGACGACTTTGACCTGGAGTGACATGGCGAGACTGTCGAGTATACTGGTAGATAGGATAGCGTGATGATAGATAGTCGATTACGAATTATACTCACTTGGTACGTCAGTATGAGACCTTGAAAAAGCACTGACAATGTCCATCCTCGCTTCGTATCGATGAAACCCCGGCAAGTGTAAGCGAACATGCTAGATCGCCACACTGGTCCGACCTAGTGCACGAAGATCATCAGACTTCAGCTCGAGAGGATGCTGGCCGCGTCAAGACGATATCAGCGGAGTTCGAGGCAGCCAGTCATCACCTGCATCCCGCTCCGTCCGCCTGGCTCTACGCCGTGCGTTTGAAATGGTTCTCGTCAATTGTCGAGTATACATGCCCCTCACTAATGAGGTAATTGAGCGCACTTTGCAGCTGCGGCTCGGTCATTCGTCCGCGCAAGCTGTTGAAAATGAGGTCGATCTTGAGTCCATGGTCGCTCGTGCACGTGCTCAAGACGTCGAGAATGGCCGTTTGATCCGGCGAGAAGTCGGATTCAGCCATACCATTGTCACCGCCATAGCCTCCAATAGCTGCGCCATGGCTCGTCTGCTTCCCCCATTCGTCCTCTGCTGCTTTGGTCGGCGTCTGGAACGACGTCATGGAGACATCGAGTTTCCCAGCCTCAGAGTGCCCTGCTGCTGCTCCCCCTTTTGTATTGTAGCAGTGGACGTAGATAACCTCTAAGAGGTGATGCGTGAGCTCGTTCATGTCGTCCAGCGGCGCCACATTGAAACAGGATAAACTCGTCTTGCCCTGGAACGTCCGTAATTTGCCCACCACTTGGACGTAACTCCCTTCTCGCAGCCGATTCAGCTCGCCGTCACTCGCCTCGGCGTCGTCCAGAGCTGCTAAAAAGTACTGACAATCAAAGCTGCCCGAGCCATCGTCCAATTGGAAGCGGAGACTCGTCGAGTGCGGCGTCAAGTTCGTGAGCAAACCCACGAGCCGCACGCTCGAGATCTCGTGGCCGTCGAGCGTCAGCGCGTCGTCGTCCGGTGCGGCAGCGCTCGAGAGCTTTTGCAGCTGATTGATTGTGACAGGTACAATACTCTGCAGGGCGTTGCTGCGTTTCGTGGGCGTCGTGGATTGACTGTTGCCCGTGGGTTGCTGGCTGGACATGAACCCACCGCCGCCGCCGCTTGTGGTGGCTGAGTAGTCGTCGTTGCCATACGCCTCGTAGCCGCCGCCGTAGTTCATGACGGGGGGAGGAGCTCTTGGCGCCAATCACTAGAAATGGCGCCAAATGGAAGTGGATAGTTGGATATTGAGGTTATTTTGGGTTAAGTTCGAGAGAGTTGGTGGTGTGGTGTTATCTCGTTTTCAGCCAGATGCTGAAGTGGGTTGTATTAGATGCTGCAGTGTTGTGGGTGGCTGGGATGGCGGTCGTACTTCGAAAAGGGTCGGATCGAGTAGCCTTTTTTTTAGGGAGACGTTCAATGATGATGTGCTGATCATAAGACGCACCCATTTGAGCGAGTGTCGTTATTGTGGGTGGGCTTGCAGGTAACATTCGTGCAAAGTGGAGTTCAGATTTATCGTCAAGACAAGACCCGGACCGCGATCTTCATACGACCAGAGGTTATCATTTAGGAAAGAAAGCATTCGACTCTGCTCTGACACATCCGAGCTTCACTTCTTTCTAGTCGTCAAAGTAGCAAAAGGTCAGCGGAAAGTGAGTGTCAAGTTTTCAAAGTGGTTGTTTAAACTCAGCGTCCGGTTGTTGAACCAATTGTATCGTATTTGGCTGACCGGTGGCAAGTGTTGTAGAGTCGAGGGACTTACTTAAACTCAACTGCATCATAGAGTTGCTTTCTCCGCACCCCTGCATCTCTGTGCCATGCCTTAGTCAAACGTGCATCCCGAATGCTGGCGGTAATCGATCGATTATACTTCACTGGCAAGATTCCGACGCGAGCCAACGCCCGATGGATGTACCAACAAGCCAACAATGATTGCGTCTAGTCGGATGACTAAGCAATGTAATTGTCATGCAGAATTGCTGGTATGTAGCACATAGCATTGCTTTTCAGGCAGCTAAACCACCCTGCTCATTTATGAAAAGATCGTCTATCCTTATTACATGACGTGCTCATTACCCGGAAGATTCTTGCTCGGGTAAGAAAAGCTTCGTGACCTTGTTTTTCAATTGCAGGACGCCAATTTGAGTCTGAACACCGTGGTGTAACACCTGAGCCAGTCCTGTTCCTAATTTGTCTTATAGCGAGACACCAGTCATGCTCTAACATAATGCACAATTTGAAGGTCACTGTAGATCGATCGGACAGCCTATGCTTTCTTCTCGGTCCATGCGTCTCGACTTCATTACACATCACGTGTTGTGTCGGCTAACGACTTCATTACACATCACGGGTTGTGTCGGCTGGCGACTTCTGCACTTTGTAATCAACAGCAGGGCGCGAATAATTTTCGTCATCAATTTTTACCTTTCATGAAACACAGATCACGAAGTGCATCTAGAAATCGCGGTCGATCTTTGTCTGGTAGTCAGCTTTAGCCAATGGACGTGAACTATCTCCCAGGCGTCTCTACTACCTACCAGACTTTCACAACGATACTTACGTATGATCAGCGATTCGAGCACGACAGGAAGTCACATCTTCACATTATCTTCCGACTTCAACCACATGGCGTTCGGGTTCTTTCACAAGTCCGGTAAAGACTCAGCCATTTGCCGTGTGAATATGTGAGAGCCTCAGACTGTCGATTATCACTACTTATCACTAATAAGATGTCTGGTTGTGTGGTAACTACCTCGAGTCATCCGCCATGACACAGTCGTACTACTCCTTGCTTTCTCACTCTACTGGCTCAAGACTTTGGGCGTCACGGCAGGGCACTCCCAAAAAAGCCCGTGGAAGCCATCTGTTAACCAAGTCCGGGGTTAGATTCTTGGGTGTACTCTACCGGATGGCGGGGCTGCTCTCGCGCTCGAAGCAATTTGATCCAGGGGACAGAAGACGCTTGACTAGGAGCCCTGTTACCACTGCGGTAGTCCCAGCGAGCCATCTTGACGTAATCCCTGCCCATCACCTCGTAGTCAACTTCTTGCTCTTCAGGTTGGCTTTGACCCACAACGCGCTCAAATGTGCCCAAATGCACCACTGGACGGAGAGTATCTGGCTCGGTGCTACTGTGCATGAACAACCGGTCTTAAATCTCAACGGGGTCGTCACGGTCTTGAAGGAGTTTTCTGCGTCGGGCCGAGCTTATGCTCAGCGAACGTGTCGGTGAGTTGTAGGCAGACCGCAAAGAGCAGGAACTTTTTCGTTTTGCAGGGTGATTTGTCCATCGTCGATGTGCCCTGCACTAGGATATCCTGCAGATCGCTTCTCTCTCGAGCCGCACGCGGTGCTGCCTCCCGTAGTGCACACAGCGAGGATAAACCCTCCCCCTGTTTACCTTGGCCCCACTACGAAGGACTTTCCGCCCAAGGCAAGCGAGTTAGTTACCCAGCTTTCGATCGGGAAGTGACCGCGTGAATATGTCTATACTGCACATAAATCGTCACGTGATATCTGCTTCGCATCGCGTTGTCGATCAACTGTTTTGGCGTCTACCATTTCCCGATATGCTCTGTATGTTATAAATCCAGAGCCAAGCTTTTTACCGGTTGAGGGTTCCGAAACGCAACAAACTTTCTCATTTGTCGACTTTACCATATTCGATGGTGCTGCAAATTTCATAGACACTACATCTGACAACAAGCATGCTTTCTCATTCCTTCAGAGTCGATTCCATCACCAAGGCTGACGCAATGCACCGATTGCGGTTACAGGTGTAGGTGACCTTTTGTTTCCAAACTTAAGCATCACTTGGTCGTGCATGTGATTAGGGGCTGGCAAGCTGTAAACGATAGGAACGGACAAGCTTCTTAGGTATGTCTGATCGTGCAGTCGTAGCGGAAGAACTGAAAAAGCTACCATAAAGCTCGTCGGCCTTCGCGTTCAATCAGCGGTTGCATGGGCAGCCTTGTAGAAGCCAACCGGACACGCCACTTACATTTGTGGATCACGCCAGGAATCTCATCAGCTTATGATTGCAGAATATGGTGGGTGAACGAAAACAGCAGACAGCACATGCACGACGATGCCAATATACCCCAGAGCTCGATACGAGAATTTGGCGAGTGCACCAGGGCTAGCGTAAATGACTTTCAACTTTGCAACCTTGTGGATATTGGACTCAAGCGACAGCCATCTAGCGCATTTGCCTGCAATGAAAGTGTGACAGCATCATGAGAGTAAGCCGTTCGAAAGTGCAAAGTTCTCGCTCTCGTGGAGGCCGAGATGGGGACTTATGCGCTGACTAATACTCTTCCGCGAGACTTCAAGACTACCCACACACTTTGCATGCTCGAAGGTCACGCCTCAAGCACTCGCTGAAGGCGCGTCACTCATACGCTGGATACGTCTCGCCACGTGTGGCATCTAGTCACTTGTTCCGTCTGTTCATCGCGGTATTTATCAGCGTACTGCGACCAGACTGGAGTCGCCATGGAGCACTTCAGAGCTTTGCGCATGTCTACACAGTATGTCGACGGCTGTGAGCCTTTAGGTGTAAAATTGAAATAAAGCGTAGGCAGAAGCTGGATTCGAATATGAAAAACATTGCTGACAACCACTGTACATTTAATGAGTTTCCTGTCTCTTGCCTAGGCTCATGCTTTCAGTGGAGGCTACTCTCGTTATTAGCGTGGGCGTGGTGTTTACAAAAGAACGTATCATGCGAACACGCAACGTCATTTACTCTTGCCTTTTCTACGATGGTGATCATCTGGCTCTGAGTGATCAAGACTTGACCGTTTTGTCACCATTCCTTCGCCCTGTGGAAGAGCCGACCATGCTCTAGTCTGATCGGAAGATTACTGACGAACTCTGTCGCGAGAGCAAACCGCTACAGCACGAACGTGCCTGGCACAATATCGCTCGGTGCTTCGCTTCAGTGGGACTGAGTTCTTGAACGGGGGGTACCAGGGACAGAGAAGGACCACAAATGAGAAGGAACCTTTACGAACCACTAGAGAAGGTTTAGAACGAACAGCCATGTCACGGGATTCTGAAGGCCGCTTATAGTTTGCTTTCTGCAGCGCAAACTACCTCATTAGCATTCCAAGTGCACATCAAAGATCTTTCACGACATTACGCTAACGTGTTGTCGGGCGAGATGACGCCCTGGCTTGATTATTCCTCTGTAAACCGCGAGAAAATTACCATGAAGCACACAATGTTTTGTCCGAGTCTGTTCAGTGCAACGACCGCATTTGGAAGTATTCGCGTTCATCGCACATGTCTCTGATTCGAATCGTACGGTGGACCGCGTTCGCTCCACGTGAAGACAACGAATGCTCATGTCTAATGGCGCTAGAGTCCATCTACGACTATTTGCATGCAAACGACATTTCGGCACTAATCGGTCATCGTTCTATGTATGCTAATTTGCACCATTTCAACCGAGTCTGATATGGTCCTACTGGTGGCTCTGCTGTCATGCAGGTCGCCGATGCTTCCGAGTTCGGCAGGGTGAACGCAAGCAATTAAGCAGTTTGGCTGGAGAGTCAGAGTGGTATTATGAAGTTTAAATTTAAATGTCAATCAATAAATTGTCGATACTCCATCATCTTCCATGCCAGCCAGCTCCCCTATCAGCATGTAATTTCCCCTTCCACTTTGCCCCGTGTCTTCTCTGACTGGCGGTACGATAATTGACAAACACCCACAGCTGATCGCAGCAAAAGTAAGGTAAATTATCGAGTGAAGTGAACGAAATGCTCCATAATGACCCGTACTTACAAAGTCCAGTGGAATTGGCTTCCTCATTTCGACCAACGCAGTACCAAAAGGATATACTGGGTGCGATCAACAATCGACATCTCGAACAAGCCGGATCGGAGACATGAAGTGGACATACCCGGTAACAATAGCAGCACATAACGTGAGATGAAGTTGTTTCACAACTGCTCAGACGACACCTTCGCGATAGTCCACATTATCCTCATTCATTTCAGTGCACTGTAATTCAACCCCGCTTGAAAGGTGCGAACATTACAGTCCAGTGTCTCGTCGAGCTGGATTGACACACTTCCAGCTCTCTCTCTCCCAGTGCTTGAGACTGTATCGAGGACAACCTCATCGATTCGGCCTACGACTTCGATGTCGTGCAAATTTCATCTGGGGACGTAAGAAATGCGATACCAGCCGCCGACGTTCCAGGCTTTCAGACAATCCACTCACCACTCACTCAGACGCCTGTTTGTTGTTTACTGCGCATCGATATCGTAGCTGGTACAGCCTTAGTAAAGGCTGATTTGACGCGAGGCTGGTGGACACGTCGCAGCCGCACAAAGACTTCCCGTTTTAGCTACGTCCATCAACCATCCCTATCAATATCATGCCAGTCTATCGCCGTCGTTCGACTTTCCGCCGCATCGTCAGTCTTTGCAAATCCTTGCGCTCTGACAATCACAGTGTAGTCTCTTTTGGTCAGCAAACCCCTGCTTTCTGTCGTAGTCCCACAAGTTTATGAACTCTGCTCTGCTCAGCTGGGGCTTCACTCTTCTCTTCCCGCATTCCCTTATTTCCACTCTTCTGCTCGTGTGACCTCCACTGCTTTACATCCGAATGGGGACTTCATGTACCCCTTCCAAGGGCGACCTCATGACCCGAATGTCCTTCATGAGTGGCACGTCGCAATACAAAGACATTGAGCAGGACAAGGGGTTTGTGGAATTGAAAACACCTGCTGATCTCACGGACATTGAGGGCGGGGCGCTCCGTGAGGGTGAAGCGCCTGATCTAAAGAGCAGAGAGAGCTTCGGACTGCTGGTTCAATACGCTGCTGTTGGGCTCAACTATGGCGTCTTACCCGCCACGATTTACCCGTTCCTGCAAAATTACATGAATGCGTCAGGTGCTCAAGTCACCACGGCAGCGACCTTGGTGGTACTACCGTGGAGTTTCAAGTGCTTCTATGGTATCTTGTCCGACTGTAGACCACTGTGGGGCTACCGTCGTCGGCCGTGGATGGTCATCGGGTGGGCCATCTGTCTCACCATGCTCCTTGTGATGGCCTGTATGCCAGCAGGAGACCCGTACTACACTGTACCAGCTGACCGAGACATCAAGCCAGCTGAATACACCCCTGAGATCGAAGCGCGGATCAATTACAGCGCTTCTTCACAAGCGGGCAAGTACGTCCTGCTTATGTTTATCGCGGCCGTGGGCTACGTGATGGCTGATGTCTGCGCCGATAGTATCGTGGTGGACTTTGCCCAGCGGGAGCCACTCAAGACGCGTGGCAAGACCCAATCGGCTGTTTACTCTGTGCGGACGGTATTTGTCATCCTAGGTCAGCTCCTTACTGGTTTCTGCTTCAATGGCAAGGAATACGGCGGTGACTTTGACTTTTCCATCACCTTCCCGCAACTCATGCTGATTCTCGCCGTTTTGACGGTACCGGTGATCCCGATGACTTGGTTCTTCATCAAAGAAGAGAAGGTGCTGCGCGTGGAATTCAAGCGCTACATGATGGAGCTCTGGCAACTGATTCAGAAACGCGCGATCTACCAAATTATCTTCTACAACTTCTTCAGTAACCTGTGTTCCGGCATCTCGTACACGGCTGCATCCCCTGTGCAGTCGTACATGGTCGGCGTCACTCCAATCAACAGCACTATCAGCGATATCCTCGGCAGTGTGTTGTTCCTCGCTGGCATCATGATCACGTCCAAGTGGGGCTTGCACTGGAATTGGCGCTATATGATCATGTTCACGGGCGGCCTGGTCATTGTTGTCGACAGTATCACGACGTTTGTCACGATCTGGGACGTCTTCCGCAGCCAATGGCTCTGGCTTGGACTGCCTCTGACAGTGCAGCTTCCAGCTGGAGTGGCTTTTGTAATTTCCGGTTTTGTGGTGGTTGAGCTCGCCGGTGTTGGCAATGAAGGCGTTGTCTTTGGCCTCATTACTATGGTCGCCAACCTCTCATCCCCGTTCGCTTCAGCCTTGACCCTGATGATCGATCAGCCGTTTGACCTGACCACCGAGCGCATCCAAGCTGACGACGCGTCGATTCGAATGGACATCACGTATGCGGTGATTATCATGTACGCAATGTCGATCTTCTCGTGGGCCTTTTTGGTTTTCCTACCTCCTCAGAAAGAAGAAACGCAAGAGCTTCTGCGCACGAGTAGCAGCAGCAAGGTCATGGGTGCAGTCACAGTTGCGTACCTCACGTTTGCACTCCTCTGGTCCCTCATGACCAACACTATGGCTATGTTCGAAACGACGTCGTGTCTATTTATCGCCGGTGGAAGCGGTTGCTGAACCTTCGATTGCGTGTCGATATTGCAGGCACTTGTTACAGTCGAACGAATGAAGACGAGTATTTTGGTTTTTTTTTATGAAAAATACTCCTAATAATAATAATAATAAAATCAACGAAACTGAGTCTGGAGCAGAGTTAGTTTTAAATCGTCGTGAGTGGGCTCTGCCCATCTATTCCTTGATTAAGATTCAGTGCACCTACCTACGCCCACATAAATTCTTTTGCCCAGATGTTCACCAGACTTATTTTGTACAAATGAGCCTCTTACACTCCCACCCACGAATTGTCCGCTGCACCCATTGCCATAAAAAGCATGGGCGTGGATGGTTGTGGGCGTGGACGTCAAATTGGAACTCTGGCGTGAAGTCATATCGCTTCTTACTCTGACTATGATAAAGGTGGTCATATCGCTGTTCACGCATGTGATACTATTTTATACGTCGTACTAGTGCCACGCGCACAAAAGGATGAAATATCTATAGGATACAATCTATTGTCGTGAGATTTGTATCGACGTAAGTGTACCATTACTTGTACAAATAAAATGGAGGCGAAGTTTTTAGGAATGGCCAGGCAGAACGTGAGCTGGTCGTTTTGCTATTTCATCGTACGTGAAGCCTGTTGGGTCTTTGACCTGTTTTTCAAATTGATGACAAATCTTCGATCTACAGCAGAACTCCTTTGAAGAGTAGACAAAAAGCTCAAAAAGATAATCAGATCTGGTCCTGATCTGCGAAAGAATGCCGACGTCGGCCAAAATGGACGGGAAAGCATCAGAGAAGAGCGACATAGTAACTGGAATAACTACTGACGCGAATCCGCCTTGGAGTGTGTTCAGCAGCTGATCTGATAACTCGTTCAGAGACGAACACGATAGCAGGGTCCACCCATCATGTAAATCCTGAACGTCGGGTGACGTCTTTATGCCCTATACTTCTGCCTAACCGACATCATCTTCTCCGCGCTGGCTTAGTCTGCTTGGCTCGGCTCTTCGGTCATCACGGGGACACTTCGCAGAGGGCACGAGGAATCGGTTGTCCATTCCGGGATGCAGACAGGGCGCTGAAGTCGAAGGAATCGCCGGGTATCAGGCCGATCACCCCGATGGATCACTGATGCACTTGGACTAGGCCGATCTTGATCACGTTCTAGGCAAGTTGGATTTGTGGGGTTCGGGAGTCAGGCTTGGCGACCGGGCTTCCACTCGAAGGCTGAAGTAGAATAGTAGGTACTAGGTGGGAGGGTGACAACCGCTGTTGTTGTACCCCTCACCTCAAGGTGTCTGGATTGTTGCTCCTCTTTCGGTTTGCACGCTGCGCTGGCTCCCGTAGCGCACGTAGCGGCAAGAAGGCCTCTCTCCTTTGATCTGGGCCCACGATAGGGGACTTCCTACCCATGGTAAAGGGCCGATCGCAGGACTCTTTGGAGGTCTTTGTCGCTTGGCCGTTGTTGCCTGAAGTTGCAAATTGGGAAGTGATGGGTACACTCGTCATCAGAATTGGTTACTAGAGTTGTTGTATTATTTTAGGGCGGATCTAGCAGCGCGAAGGGATAAACTTCACTTCACAATCTCGATCCGGAATTAGGTGTCGGAGATGGTTCGATAGTAGTTGTAAAGGGGTGAATCGTTACATAACAATTTATAAGAAATTGTTAATAGAATATAACTATAAGAGTTATATTCTCAGAATATTGTCATAAGGACAAATATTCTGTTGCACTTACGAGTAGTTCCTAATTGGTTGATATAGGCCATTATATCAATCAACGAAGACACGCCACGACAGACGCACGCAATGAGTGGTGAGCAGATAATTGATTTACACATTTGTATTTAGACATAGTTAGATGAGGATAAACAGTGGTTTATTAACAGACACTAACAATTATAAACACAGTTCTACATTTTACTTCAAGCAGGTACTCGCTTCTCCTTACCGGCTTCCTCTGCACGTACGAGTGTACGTGAAGTTCCGAGGCACCGCCTTATTCTGTCATCAGAATAAGTAGCTTGTACTGTCATCAGTACAAGCTTCAGGGTGCCCCGTTACACCTGGTAGCACTTCGTCGTCCGTCCAAGGACCACGTTCACATCTAACATATTCATGTTAGATGATGAAGATGACCAAAGCTTTCACGCTACGCGTGATGGCTACTCCCATTTGAGCGATGTCGAATGGGATGCGGTTGAACGAATGGGTTCGACCATGGGCATCCATGCTGTTAGCGTCATGCTAGAGGCTCTCAATAGAGATGCCCAACATGCTACTATCGCCAAGTTCATTCAAAATGAACTTGACGCAGAACGCGAGAAAGTAGCCTTGCTTCACCAACAAGGTTCTTAACAAGCATAGTTGTTGAGAGAACAGAGTGCTCAACAGTTTGAACTGTTGAGACAGCAGCAGGCTGCTGCTGGTGGGTCGATGCATTCGCGTCGACCCGAGACTTTGAAGATTGACATCTCCAAGTATAGGGGAGTCGAAGAGGACTCCCTCTTGAGATGGTTCGTCGAATTGGATGACGCCATAAGGGCGCGTCGCATCGACGACGGGGATATGCAAGTTGCATTTGCCCAGTCAAATCTGGCAGGACGTGCCAAGACTTGGGCACTGGGGCTCAAGTTGCACGACCCATATGCGTTTGGGTCGTTGGAAGTCTTCAAGTCGCGGCTCAGACAAACGTTTGAACCGCCTAGAGCTGAGTTCAGAGCTCGAACCGAACTCTTGAAGCTCAAGCAGGGTAAGCGTGATGTGCACGCTTACGCGCAACATATACGACATCTTAAGAGTTGTTTAAGTTCCAACCTGGTTGATGAAGACACGTTGGTTTCGGTGTTCATGCAGGGTCTTGCGGATGGTCCCGTCAAGACTCACCTGTTCCGACTTGAACTAGATTCACTAGAACAAGCCATTTCCATTGCGGAACAGGAAGACTTCAGTCTGAGACAGGCTCGCGCCAGCTCGACATCATATCGTACACCGAGACGATATGACAGTGGAGGTCCAGAGCCGGTGGAACTCTGTTATGTAGAGAGCGAGAAGGCTCGCTCAACAGACTTCAAGAAGTTGCAGAAATGCAACAGATGTCAAAAGACAGGACACTACGCTTACGAGTGTAGTGCCCCTCGTCCAGTGTCTCGCGACACTGGGCGTAGTGACCGTCCACCCATGAGAAAGGGGTAGGGACGAGGGTCCGCAGTTGGTGCAAAGACGCAACAACGGGATGGACCGTCAAAAAACGGACAGGATCAGTAGGTGCGGAGCACCCTACTGGTCCAGCAACGTCAAGAGAATTTGTAGGCCTCTTGATGAAGGTTGCTCCCAACACACAAACGTTGTGCGTTGCTGCTCTAGGTAATGAGGTCTCACTCATCACTTTGAAACTCGAAGTGACGAATAAGTTGTCCCTTCGAGCTCTAGTCGATTGTGGGGCGTCAACAATTTTGTGCGACGCCAATCGCTAGAAGATGGTCACTTTAAATTCAGTGAATGTGACACACCTCCTACGAGGATGACGGTACGTCTTGCGACAGGCGCATCCGTAACCGTCATGAAGCGTATAGTGAAGATCCACTATACGCTTGAAGATACCCAATATGACGATGACTTTATCGTATTGTAATCGGATGACAAATTTGATGTCACCTTGGAATACCGTGGCTCAGAAGGTACGAACCACGGGTAAACTGGCAACATCGGACAGTAACGATGCCTGCCGCTTGTTCATCAGATGGCCATCTGATGAACGTGTTGGAGCGTCCACAAGCGTGTGGATGTACTACGAGTGAGTGCGATGGCCTCACTTGTGGTACGGCCGTTAGTACGACTGCACAAAACCTTAGTGTACCAAACGGTTACACTTCGGAGCAAAGTTCCGGCGGCTGTGAGGAAACACAGGCTGCGCCGAAGGTCCACCACTCGAACGAGTCGAGTGGACCGGGACAAAGATGTATCCCTATCGGGGAACATCTAGAAGGGAAACAACCGGTCGCTCAGGTTAAGCGAAACGATGATCCTAGATCGACTGGAGAGTCTTTCGTAGAGGATCTCGCTGTGGTTGCGCAACCCCAGCTAGAGGAAGTAAAGGGAATAAGCCCCAAGATTACAAATACGGCGGAAATAAGTTCCCCGAAACCCGCGGGAATAAGTCCCCGGGAAGCCGAAGGAATAAGTCCTTCGAAACCTGACGGAATAAGTCCCCAGGAAATGACAGAGACATTAAATGTCCTAGTCAATGACGGATCAAGTGTAGGCGCTTATACACTTGATCTGATTGCGCCTCCGAAGTTAACTTCGGAGATCACTCAGTTGCCAACGCTCGAACATAAAAGGTTCTTGCGTGATCTGCGTAGTGGCAAAGTCAAGCAGATCTGCGTACTCGTCGCTGACGACGAGTGTGTAACCGACATAAGGTCAGCAACAGTGTTTACTGAGAACGAGAGAGTTCTCAGTAGTTTATCTATGGACGAGAGTGTCCTAGATGAAAAAACACGAATTGAGCGATATGACTCCCAATCGTGGGAATCGCTCAAGACAAATCCTCTCTATGATGATTTGGTTGAGTTCAAGGATGTATTCCCTGAGACTGTTCCGTGCGAGTTACCGAAGGATAAAGGTATTCGACACGAAGTAGAGCTTAAACCGGGCTCGAAGTACTGTGTCATGAAGCAGTGGCCACTGCCTCTTGAACGGGTCACAACGATCGACAAGTTCTTTGCCGATCGTTTAGCCGCGGGCCATGTGAGGGAATCAACTTCCCCACATAGCTCTCCGACCTTCTGTGTGCGAAAAGCAACTGGAGGGTGGCGGATAGTGCACGCGTTCAACAAGTTGAATGCTGCAACGGTACCGGCTCAGACGCCGATACCAAGGAAGGACGTAATCATTGATGGTATGTCAAAGAGTACCATCTTTTCGTCCATGGATTTGATGGATGGATTCTATCAAATCCTTATGCGAGAACGGTATATACCCTATACCGCAGTGAGCACGCCTAGCGACGTGCTCTAAGAACGGCTAGTAATGCCACAAGGGCTTAGTATTGCCCCTGCCACGTTCAACAGATGTGTATCATATCTGTTGAGACCAGTACGAGAATTCGCACCGAGTTATTTCGATGACGTATTCATCCATAGTCGGGCTATGGATGGAAAGTCGGACGTTGAGGTTCACAGGTACCACGTCCGACAGGTTCGTACAATCATGCGAAAGCATCAATTGTATGCAAACCTCAAGAAGTGTATATTTGCAGCAAGCGAAATACCACTCCTTGGGTGCATCGTTGGTAAGAACGGTGTACGTCCTGATCCCGAAAAGATCAAGGCGATCACTGACTGGCCTGTGCCGGTTGATGTCAAAGGTCTTCGAAAATTCCTTGGGCTAGCGGCGTATTTGCATAAGTATTCACGCAATTACGCCGAGATGACTGTGCACCTCTCTCGTTTGTTGAAAAAGAACGAGAGGTGGTTATGGAACGCTGAATGTCAGCGCTCCTTTGAGGGTATCAAGCAGAGCTTGATACAATCCCCAGTCCTAGCAATAGCCGATCAGGACAGGCCATTTCATGTGGTCTGTGATGCCAGCGATTTCGCAATCGGCTGTGCATTAATGCAGTACGATCTTGAAGGCGTTGAACGCGTCGTCTGCTATCAGTCGCGTCAGCTGCAACCAGCTGAGCGGAACTATCCAGTGCATGACAAGGAACTCCTTGCCATGAAGTATGCACTCGCGAAGTTCAGAGTCTATCTATTAGGAGATAGACCCTTCATTGTTTACACTGACCATGCGTCATTACGCACGGCAGTGAACAGCCCGCACCTTTCACAACGAATGGCGCGGTGGTTGTCATTCTTTGCAGAATACAACTTTACGGTCGAGTACAAACCAGGACGACTTAATGTCGTCGCTGATGCACTCTCACGTCGTCCCGACTTTGAAACAGTCGTGAAACCCAACAGTGAGACAGCCACTGTTGCGGTTATGACGTCCTCAGTCCCATCTACAACGTTGTATGATGATGTGAGGCGGGCATACGCCCAAGATGGTGAGATTGTGAAGTTGTTGACACATCTCTCCCAACCATCTCGAGAATCGTTGAAACGATTATCGTCTGCGTATCGATCTGATGCAGATCGATACGCTACTCGCAACGGGTTACTGTATTATACAGCCGTTTCTGGTGACATACCACGTGTTGTTATTCCAGATGATACTGATCTGCGTTTGCGGATCATGTTCGAGTATCACGATGCTCCTATAGGAGGACATCGTGGCCGGGAGAAAACATATATCACGGTGAGTCGGGACTTTTACTGGCCCCGCCAGTATCAGTCTGTGCGAAAGTATGTTCGCGCATGCGAATTCTGCCAACGAGTGAATTCAAGCCCTTCACTGCGTGCACCTTTACAGCCTCTACCGGTTCCGGCTGAGTGCTGGGAATCCATCTCAATGGATTTCGTCTTCGGGTTACCCAAAGACGCACGCGGGAATACGGGTATTCTCGTGATATTGACAGATTCAGCAAAATGGTACACCTAGTGGCTGTACCAGAGTCAATCACGGCAAGTGGTTGTGCTTGTGTCTTGATTGACACCATCTTCCGACTTCATGGGTTGCCCCGTGAACTCGTATCAGACAGAGATCCACGATTCACTGCTGATTTCTGGCGTTCCGTGTTCAAATCACTCGGAACGCGCTTGAAGATGTCGACATCTGATCATCCAGAGTCAGATGGTCAGACGGAACGTGCCAACCGTGTCCTTGAAGAGATACTTCGAGGATACGTACACTCCTTTAGGAGTTGGAGTGAGTTTTTGCCAATGGTAGAGTTTGCCATTAACAACTCGGTGCATGCGTCCACGACACATACACCGTTTTACGTGAATGGCTTGCGCCATCCGCGTGTACCCACCTTACTAGAGTGTAACTCTGGTTTAAGGGGGGGGGGACTCGCGCGAGCAAAAACCGATTTGGTTCACGCTCATCACGCTCTGACGAAGAAGTCATTGCGTTTGATGCCGATATCGATAACATCTATATCGAAGAAGATGATGCCAGTGAGAGTGCGGAAGCCCTCACTGAAGTAGATGATCCCAGTGAGAGTGCGGAAGCCCTCACTGAAGAAAAGGTTGATGTTGCTGCAGTGCGCTCACAGCGCACTGAAGCTAACGAGTCATCAGATGAGTTCATACTGGCTCGTGAAACGGTAGTCCGTTTTGTGCAAGACTCCATCGCCGAAGCAGTGGATAAGCAAAAGCAAAACGCTGATAAGAATGGAAGGGCAAACACTCTTTTATTTAATAAAGGTTACTTTGTCCTACTGTCTACGGTTAATCTACCAAAGCATGTAGTGACTCACTTGGGTAGCAGTAAACTACTACCCAAGTACATCGGCCCATTTCGTGTATTGCACCGCCTAGGCAATGCATACACGATCGAGTTACCACGTAAGATGCGAATGCATCCCACGTTTTACATTGGTCGGCTTAAGCCGTACCATCAGTATGCTGCTTCTTCCGATGAAGAACGCCCTTGCACTCAAGCATCTCGCAGAGAGCCTTGTGCTCCCGATGGTGGGCATCAACAAGGGTCTGAAGAGCAGTTATCTCAGCCCGAGACCGCTCAACATCCCCACGAGCTACCCTTAGCTCGTCACGAAGAGATGTCAGAGCTCTCTCGTTATGAAGCTGAGCAAAGGCAAACTCAGCTTGATGCTTCGAGACAGCGTCCGCCAGTTGGAGACGCATGTCCCGCTCATGTTCGAGATCGTCGCGTAACCCTTGCGTTACGCGATCAAAGAAGCTCTCGGGAACACACGGATCCCCATGATCGTGTGGAGAGCGTCTTTCCTCCTCCTCCACCTCCATTAGAGGACTCTCGCGGTGGCCAGCGCTATCTAATTGAGCAGCTGTTGAACCACCGCGACGTGAACGGACGTCGGACGAGTTATCTCGTCCGGTGGCGCGGCTATCCCCCGTCCTGGATACTTGGGAGCCCCGCCCCCAACTGATGGTTGACGTACTGGGTCTGGTTGAGCAGTACGACGCGGCACATCTTGTGCCGCAGAAGGACCGCCGGAGAAAGTCTTCCCGGCACGGTCGTAAAGGGATTTCAGGTTGTCAATCCCTTCGTACATCTCAATAGAGATACGTACGCGCCACCACGGGCTACTAGGGAGGTAAGCCTCCTTAGGTGCTCGTGCAGAGTTGTTCACACAACACGGGCACGAGTCTCCTCAAGAGAGGCAGGGTAATCCCTTCTCCCTTGACAGACGATGCAGCTTGTAGCGTGCACCTGTCGGGGTTCGCTTTTCAAACTTATCACGAGCTTTGATAAGTTTGTCGTTCCAAGCGTCACGACCTACATCCTCAAGGTTATGGATGTAGGCGTTCCACGCCTGAAGCAGTGAGGGACCATCACGTTTGTGATTCCCACTGTACCATCGGTGTCTAAAGAAAGCATCGATGAAGAATTCGTGTTCAGCGCGATAGTTTTTCGCGCTGGGATCAAGGTGATGGATCCTTGACGAATCGAACAATCGTGTTCGATAACGATCACTCGTCGTCGCCGACAAGTGATCCATGACGGATTTTGGAGGCATCCATGCCTTCTTCTCGGGAGCGAGACGCAAGACATTGCGGTCCCGCTCTTCCTGCGACGTGCCGACAGAAGTACTGGCACCTCGCTGTGAAGTGGTGTCCATAGGAGAACCGACACCACTGTTAGCGCCCGAGTCTCGCGACCTCGAGCGCCTTCGCTTCGGCGATGGTTCATCTGATTCATCAGATGAACCAAAGATGCTGCGACGCAAAGCATCATCCATATTACGCTTGGCAGGCGGCTTGGTTTCCACCGCCGTCGATACGGATCCGTCTTCCGTATCAGGAGAGTATGAGACACCGAGCTCATACTCTGTGAAGACACGAGTGTCTTCATGACCAGCGCTTGCATCACCAAGTGACACAGGCTGGGTCGCTTCAGCAACCGATGAGACATCAGTTGCTGTAGTTTCTGCTTCGGCGTCCGCACAGAGACGTGCGGACGCGCTCTCGGCGGCCTTGCTCGCGCATCGCATGGGCTTGTTAACCATGCGATGAAATGTTGGGAAGTGGACTCGGACCAACAAGTGCAAACCCTGTCCCAAATGATTTGGGACGAGTATCCATTTAGTCAATCAGTCACTAAAGTGACTGATGGTTAAGGGGGGTGATGTAACGGGGTGAATCGTTACATAACAATTTATAAGAAATTGTTAATAGAATATAACTGTAAGAGTTATATTCTCAGAATATTGTCATAAGGACAAATATTCTGTTGCACTTACGAGTAGTTCCTAATTGGTTGATATAGGCCATTATATCAATTAACGAAGACGCGCCACGACAGACGCACGCAATGAGTGGTGAGCAGATAGTTGTTATACACATTTGTATTTAGACATAGTTAGGTGAAGATAAATAGTGATTCATTGCAGACATTAACTATTATAAATACAGTTCTACTTTTTACTTTAACCAAGTACTCGATTCTTCTTACCGTCTTCTCTGCACGTACGAGTGTACGTGAAGTTACGAGACACCGCCTTATTCTGTCATCAGAATAAGTAGCTTGTACTGTCACCAGTACAAGCTTCAGGGTGCCCCGTTACAGTAGTGCTAAATACGTTTTGCTGGTTGTATTTGCTGTCGGCCACCAGAAAGCAATCCCGACACAACACACCAGGAAAGGAAACATAGCGGACCGATAACGCAGAATGGCATATGTATTTCCTAGCTGCATGGATTATTACGAGCCCAGAGGGTGAATCCATTAATGACTGTGCGCAAGATAAAAGCCGAGCTTACGAATCGTACTTAAGATAGGAGAGTAAGCTCTGGAGCTCGCTCTCTTTAATCTAAGTAATCCAGTTCATAGATCGGAATCAAGTCGCAAATCACTACTGCAGCAGCAGTCACTGAAGAACGAGTATGATGCTCTTGATGTCTGTAATAACCCAGTATAACATACTTGGGCGACGCGATCAGCCTTTGCTTATGAACGTCAAGCATTTGCTTATGTACGTCAAGCATTTGCTTATGTGATCATTTTCACCTTAAATCGATTTAGCCAATCACGTGCGTGAGGCACAACAGTGACCTAGCCAAAAAGTGACTTTGTATGTGACTACACTCACCCCTTTTTGTTAGAGACAACTTTTTTTTGTGGCCAATCTTTACAGCGTGTCTTATTAGAAGGCTCTTTTGGGGAATATGTAAGACATTGGTCGCATGGTCTTATAACGACTGAAGAATTGAATATTGCGGCTACTAAGTAACGCTGCAGAACATGTCCCTATGTGCAATGATACGTAACATTTGTTTACTGGAAGGGGTCTCTCATTCGATTTCTTTTGCTCTAGCGTGCCAATTATTATGAATACCTGATAAAACCTTATCCAGATCTGACAGAACGATGCGCGTGTCTTTCAATGAGCGTACAAAGTACAAACACAAAAGCGGGCAGCACTTTAGAGCTTCTTTTGCCCTGATCAGCGCTTGATCGTCATCACTTTCGACTTTCGCGGGCTCCGCTTCTGCTTTAATCAGAGTCATTTTTCTTCACAAATCTGCTCGTGGTCCTAGATCACGACTTAACATTACACGCTGACCCTAGTATTTAATCACATGAGCTATGTCGCAGCAGTCTAGTTGGAAGCCGAAGCTGGACTTTCGATAATCGTTTGTGAATGCTAATTCGTAATCGGTGGCGCTTGAATGATCTCACTGTTGATCCAGACACTTAAAATGTAACCTTCACCAAAGGTGTTCCAGCTCATAGCTGCAAACTCAATGGATTCTAGGACATTGATCCTGCATTCCATATTTGCTTCAGTCAGACCCACGCGCTATCGCATGTTAGGTTTATTGTAACAAGCCATGAACAATCGAAATATACTTATTACCATATGTGTAGGCACGCATTTATTTGTAATTAAATACACTTTGTTATTACACGTAACTTCATCGAGCGGTCGGATAGTGTAAATCATTGTAGGCGAACAAAGACCACGGTGGCGTTGTTGAGCACTTGTAGCGGAGCTACTTAGCGCTCCTTGACAGAGGAAGTCGTCGACTCAAAGAGTCTACTAGTTATAACAAACTAACAATGACGTGCATTCATTTAAGCGTACAAACTAAACACCTCGGTTGCAAAGGGATTGCGATTTACAGAATCACAAACTAACTAGTCACTGATGGTCAAACAAGAGTAAGCACCTTCACAAGGCTCTCAATCTTACAGCACGCTATGCCTTGGCTAGGCACTTGTGTCCAACAATTTAAAAGGGGAACTGGACCTAATTTATGCTTTCACTACGATAACAAAACCCTAAAACCTTTTCTAACTGACTTCTACATTGCGATCCTATGACAGAAGTCTTACCTCTTATCCTAATTCGATAAGGTGCGGTATTACAGTAAGTACGTGGTATCAAGACTGTACCAGTCAGATCCAAAGATCTTTACTCAGTGTGGACAAACAACAAAAAAGGTTCAATAACCGCGTGTAACCCGTTACAGTTCTCTTCGGACCTTGTGACCGAAAGCGTTATATGGAAGAACAGTTATTTGCGACCATGGATTGTATTAGTGCAGCCACTTTTTCTTTAAAATATCAAGCATGCAGTCAATTGAGTTTGCAGCGTATACGATGCCACCCTCCTCGATCTCTACACCCTTAAAAAGCACCTAAGTTGTAAAATTTTCGATGGCAAAGGGCTCCAATTTTTAGACCCACTTGTGTTGCAGCAGAGGGAGACGTCATCCGTACTTCTAAGCTCTTCTCGCCATTGTTTCGAGCTGTAAAGGATTTTGCTTGTTGGCAAGTCGTCAAATAATTTCGTCTCATTACAGATAAAGCATCATCTGGAAATACTACTTGATCACATATCGGATGTCAGAATTAGCTGCTTGCACTTCTTTAGTGCATTAACTTCCGCTCTCGCCGGTCAACGCACAGCTTTTGATGTTGTTGCGCCCCTAAAACCTCCAAAAATAGCTTTTGAAAATTTAAAGATTGTGATATTTGAAATCGTGGCTAATCCGCAGTCGGTCTGCTTCTTCAGGACCAGATCTTTGGATATCCCGTCGATCTCGCGCCATGAATGAACATTGGCAGCTCTTTAGAGAACTCAGGATGCTTCACACGTTGTTTATTGTTTACTTCAATGTTTATCTCTCAAAGTCGGCTTCGTTTTTGGCCATAAACCGATGCGTCACTGGTTTACATAGGCGCTTTTACAACAGAATGCTTGTACAATTTTGCACTTAATAGATGCAAACTTTAGGCGTTTTAAGAAATGTTGAAGGCCTTTGTACTTCTGCCTTAGTGAGAGAGATACTTAGTTGAACTTTTTGATTGCACGTGCTCGATCTCGACAAGAAGTAAGATTTTCTGGAATACGTGTTGGATCAGTGGCGTAGTGATGTAGTGGTATCAACCAAAGTTAAGTCTTCTATCTATTGACTTACTAAATATTGTAAATTGTCTACCATATTTGTTATAATGACTCCATCAGTGAACAGTCCATCACAGTCCCGCCTATTGTGACATGCTTTACGTCTTTCCATTTAGTCGCGTCCGAGGTTCTATGACGTTGCCAAATCATCTTAGGTTTTTAGCAAATCTTTGGTCAGAACAACTTTCACTCCATATTTCCCGTGTTTTTATAAGCAGCAGAAGCAGGGGCATTGAGTCATGCAAAGAATTTTTTACTCAAATGAGCAAGCGCTGTTCGTGTCTAATATCTTCTTCGCTTGTTAAGAGAACGCTGTAGAAATCCCTTTATATTTTGAAACGTTCGGTGACGCTGTGACTCTTTCATAGAATGTGTATCTAATAAATAGTGTCTTATAGAGAGGGGTGAGCGTGAATGCTGATAAGAAGGGGACAGGCCAGGCTTGATCGCACAATACGGATAAGCTACACCTGACCGCTCTATAGACACACACATTTAAGTATAATTAAAAATTTCGATGTTAAACCTTGCGTACAATCACAAATAGCTTCACCTTCCGGGCTTGCGATCAGTCTGTGTGTGTCTTTCTGTCTGTAAATTACGCGGCTAGGCGTACTGCACATTTACTAACTTCGACATAGCCTGTCTCCCCCTCACAGGTACATTTGTAAAATAAAAATGAATCATTGGCTAGGTCACATTTGTGGCGCACGCACGTGATTGGCTTCAAATGTATCAGAGGTGAAAATGGTCACATAAGCGAGCGCTGGACGCTCATATGAAAATGCTGATCGCGTTGCCCGTGTATAATTTACTGGGTTATTACAGACATCAAGAGCATCAGGTTCATTCTTTAGCGACTGCTGCTGCAGTGTAGTGATTTGCAGCTTGATTCAGTTTTCAGACTAAATTACTTACATGAAAGGACGAGCTCCAGATCTTGCATCCCTATTTTAAATTTAGGGAGTCATTTTTTACACCCAAAAAAACTAGAGAATCATTCCTTATATCATCACCACTCTTCTGTAAAATAGAATGTTTGGGCCAGCATGCCCCTCATAGTTTTTTCGTTTGTCCTTCTTCTGGTAACGCCACCCCACCCTTCCAGCTTGACATTTACGCTTAAAATAATTCTCAATTCTCATTACTACTATTGCTCCTTCCCGGAACACGTGTACAAACCCAGGAGAAAGAGAAAGAGGCAGTACAAATCTTTGCTTGACATGGACGTTTTTTACAAAGCAGTCACGCAAAAAAAACTGATAATGTGGAATTCCTAGGCACTCGTTTGAGCAAAAGATGTATTCCACAAGACAGATCACCTCCAGCGTGTCGCGATTTAAGGCTTTGTCGACCGTGAGCTCACCGATTTGCGTCGGCGAGCCTCAACTCCCACGGTCGTCAAGATGTCAGAAGTCGTCGAGCTCTACATCTATAGCTACAGCAGCGAGGGGTCAAAGCGCTACGCTCTCAATATATGGCTCTGTGTGGTGTGTATTGCTATCCAAGCTCGCCAACTTACGTCTGAGTTCTTGCACCCCCATTTTCTCCTCTCCAAGTTGACGGGGAAGGCGGAGTAGTGAGCGCTGGACAAGCTTGTCGCTAACCCGGGGTGCTTCCCGAACTTCAAGGCCCTAAAGGAAGTTCTGTGCTTTGGGTTCGATCCCCCCAGGACAACACCACCACCGATCGGCTTTCCTCTCGTCGAAACAAGGTCGCCAATCGATGTTAAAACAACATGCAACGATCTCGACACTTGGCGTCTTAGATTGTAACAAATCGTACTGATTCAAAGACTCAAGTCCATGTGTTCGTCAAGGGTATATACTCTTGTCACCAGAATTTTTATTTGACGCGGAAGCCTCCGTCGTCGCTTAAAGAAGCATTCACGATCGCGTTACGTAAATATTTCAGCGTCGTGGCCTCGCACATTGAACATTCTGTTGGATGTGGAGTTGTCATAGCGGACACTCCCTTCTGGGTTGTCGCCCCAGCTGCCAGGTTTGGTAATCATAGTGGGTGATTCTTGTGGTTACACTATGTTCTAGATGGACCTTAGATCGGTAGTGCACGATTCAAATAGATCTCACTTCTAGATTGAATGAGCCACTGACGAGCACCCCCCCCCGACGGGGGACCGAAACGCGTCTGGCGCGCGTTTAAATATTGAAATTTTTCATTTACAATACTCTGTTTCAACACATTCGTCGTACCGTCGTGCTGTTCAATAGCCCGAGCCTAAGAAAAATAACGCGCTTTTGCGTGTCCCGTATTCACGACGGGTGTTTTGAGCCACGGGACTCGAAAACCCGTGGCGATGAGTCAGCTAAGCTGTTTCATCTGTAGCCAACTTGGTCACCGCGCGGCATTATGTCGCGCGTCTTCACCTGTGCTCATTGTCGTCTAGACTATCACCTCGGATGACTCGGCCAAACAGCAAAATAAAACTGAACAACCAGTAGGCGCAGGGCGTCCTACTAGGTGAAGACGGAGAAACTTGCCCCGTGTGGCGACACTTTCCTTTGTTCCCTGTGCGCTTCACGTACAGTTTTGTATCACCACGTTCAGCAGCAAAATTAAATAATAGGGCTCAACGTGCACGTCGACGGTGCGACGTACCCCCTTCGAGCGCTGCTGGACCCGGGCGCAACGAGCAGCTGTTCGCGCAAAATGTTTGAAGATATCCCCCTTGCGGATGCGTGTTCGCGAGTCTCCAGGAACGGTAATCGTTAAGTATGAATGTGGTAAGATAAGGAAGCTCAGACAGCGGTCGGTTATTGTCCCCTACCACTTGACGGATTTGCAAGCAATGACGAGTTTCAAGTCATAGACCTTAGCGGGTCGTTTGACTGCATCTTTGGGATGCTGTGGCTTGCACGGCATCGTCTGTACATTAATTGGATTAACCGCACTGTTAGGCTTCGTGATATCGATATCAAGGCTGTGCTAGCGGTGCTTTCTGACCCCACGACCAATGGAAGCACGTCGCTGTCGTGAATTCAAGCTTCACGACCTCAAGTATCAGCAAAGCGTGCGATTTCCCTTCGCTCGCTGTACACAACATCGCGACAGGCTCCTCCTCAAAAGAACAGTTGCCCTGATTTAGGATCTACGCCGAGGCAGTGGGCTTCGGCGTCCAACGGTCGAGCAACCGCTTCCGTGTGCTACAATCAAACCAGCATCGCACCGTAGCAGGCTTTGGTGCGTCCCGCACAAGCAGTGGCTCCCATGCGTTCGGGACATTAAAAACAACGCACAGAAGCAGAGGCTCTAGGTGCGTCACGCGCGAGCAGCGTCTCCCGTGCATTCGAATACCACGACGGCGCAGAGGCCTTCCTTGCGCGTGCCTGAGTTAAAAACCACACCGTAGCAGAGGCTGCCGGTGTGTCACGAGCGAGCAGTGGAGCCCGTGTCTGTCCACCATGAGGAAATTTTGCCGGAGCAGAAGATTCCGTTCACCGTCTCGGTAGCAGTGGCTGCCGCAGCTACATTCAACCTCCCGGTCAGAGTCAGTGTTGCTCGGCCGTCAGCGACGACGGACCCCGGTTTGATGTACTCCCCGGGTTGCTGAGATTGCTTTATCTTCCCCTGTCGAGACTATTAACGTTTTTTGTCAATCTGAAAGTTATTGGCCCCATAAGCCACCCTTTAAAGATTGCTAGTTTTCCTTCCTCCGCGTCTACTATCACGCAGCTCCCTGAACTTTGTTGTGATGTTCACGGCCTAAACCACAAGAGCAGAAACATCTTCACCAGTGGCTGGATTTAGCCAACTACCTGCATTAATATGCCTAGGCGTTTGCTGCTGTAATTTACTGATTGTCTTAACCATTGAAGAAGGGAGCCACGTGGTCGTGGGTCGGTAGCATCAAGATGCTTTCGATGAGATCAAGAGAAGAATTTCTACAGCGCCAGTGTTGGCTCTATCTGATCAATCGAAACCGATTTATGTGGTATGCGATGCGAGTGGTATAGCTATAGGATGTGCTCTCATGCAATTGACAGATACGTCACTGTACGAGTGATCAGCTATCACTTGCGCCAATTGAAGCCGGCGGAATGCAAGTATTGTGCACATGATAATGCGTTGACGGCTATGAGATAGGCATTCGTCAAGTTTCGCGTATACCTGCTTGGGAAGCAGACTCCCGCACTATAAAACCGACCATTCCTTTTTACGTACGGCGACGAAGATCTCTCATCTCAGCCAGCGCATGGCGCGCTGGCTATTTTTTTGCTGAATGCAACGTCGTTGTTCATTACAAGCCTGGGGTAAGGATCACCCTTTCCGACACTTTGTTACGTCGGCCTGACTATGATCCACGTTCTACTGTCACGGCCCCGGCATTTTCCGATGACGGTGACTGCGTTGCTTTTGACGCACTCGGTGTGAATGCGACGCGGTTTACTATGATGAGTCCTCTTCGAGTCGACACCGTGGCAGCTTACACCCACGATGTCTACAACGCGCCGATCGTTCGATACTTTCTTGATCCATCTGGTGTAACTCTGCGTGATCTCAAAGCGTCGGCTCGGGCACAGATTTCGCGTTACTCACTCAACGGCGACTTGAACATGTGTGATTGATCAGTTTGACCCTCCTCGGATCGTCCTCCCTCTCGATGACGATCTACGTGCTCGTTTTCTTCAGTATTACCACGACAATGCGACCAGTGGACACTTTGGTAGCGAGAAAAGATGTGTATGTCACTGTATTGCACGTTATACTGGCCCCGTTTGTACAAGTGGGTCCGCAAATAGGTTCGCTCATGCTAGGTATGTCAGCGTGTCAAATTGAGTCCATCTTCTCAAGCTTAAGTGTGCTCTCTACCAGTGGCGACCGAGAAATGAGACTCGGTCAGCATTAAAAATTTTTTTGATTCTTCTGCCGATGCGCAGGTTGTAGTGGCAATTTTGTGGTCGTTGATCGCTTCAGCAAGATGATGCATCTTGATGATGTCGATGTGCCCATTACTGCAGCAAATTTAGCAACGTTGCTCATCGACATCGTTTTCAGACATCACAGTCTGACTTCAACGATTGTCTCTGATCGGGACCCTGCCTTTGCAGCTGCTTTCTGGTCGCAGCTGTTTACCCTTCTAGGCACGCGCCTTCTGATGTGCACGGCTGCCCATACCGAGAAAGACGGCCGGACTGAGCGCGCAAAGTGCATGCTGGATGACGTCCTACGCAATTAAGTTCGCGTCCTTCACGTCATAGAGTGCGTTTCTCCCCATGGCCGAGTCTGCTATTGATTACGCTTGATAAGTCTACCGGAATGACACCCTTCTTCGTCAGAAACGCCCGTTTTCCACGTTCCCCTAATTTTCTCGGTCTATCTGATATTTTTAATATTGGCGAGGAAGGGACACCAGACACACTAACATCGACTGAAGGTACACCAACGACGACGTCGCCACATTGTCACCGTGGCGACACTGCAGACGAGATGGCATCTACTGAATATACGGCAGCGAACGTGTTGTCGATGTGCCCATGGAGAACCTACGAATGAGTTTGTCACAGATGGACTGACATCAACAAATATTGAGACAGCAGTGAACACTGCTCACACTCGCTCATCCACGCCAGGTAATCATCGACCACTGGATGTCGACGACACGATCGGTGGTTTACTGAGTCTTTAATTAACCCCAAGCGCCATTCAGACCATTCGAGACGCGCTCGACGAGTGTCACCTACTCTTGACCCGTGCTCAGACGCGTCGCCACCGAGCGATCGTCTTGCTGGCTTTGCGGCCAACGAAGCATTGTCCAACAACTTCAGTTTGTCACGAGTTTTATGCGTGACGATTGCAAACAATGTCGATATACGGAAGGCGGCCGCTAACATGAGCGGTTGCACGAATCAAGAAAAGTTCATTCTTGGCAACAAAGATTGTATCGATCACAGGTATTCAAGACACGTCTATTACCGAATCTGGTTGAAAATTAAACTGACGCCAAGGTTTATTGGCCTCTTCAAGATGATAAAGCATTTGGGTGATTCGTGTACACTCGACTTTCCTACGGCTATGCAACTACACCCAACATATCTAGTTAAGCGTCTCAAGCGGTACTACCCGTCGCTTCTCCCGACGCAAATGGATGTACCGGGGGCGCATATCTTGGCTTCCGATTTCGCGGAGGCCTCGGCAGATCCGACGGACGCTGACCCCTCAAGATCACGTTCTCCCGTCGTAGTGATTGGTTTGACTGCTCGAGGCGCTCGAGTCGCCGATCAAACTCGGCAAAAGTTGTCTCAGTCGCCAGTGAATGGATGCACACCTACGCCGCCCGATTACGACATTCGTGGACGTCGTTGTCAACACAACGTCCAACGTCGCGTAGCTGATCCGCGAACCCTCAAGCCAAGGCGAGCGCTTTCTCCACAGGCTCTGCAGTCTCGTGGCTCAGAGACTGATCGCACTTGGAATGATTTCATTTAAAACATACAAATGTGAAGATTTAAGTCGATTTTAATTTACAAACGAAACACGCTTACACTTGTGTCACTCACACTTGTTTGCATGACCTTAGCTTAAATAACGTAAAGGGCTCTAGTTTCGTTACATGGGCCCAAAATCAGTATCGTTGACATCAGTAAGTGGGTCTGTTGTTTGACTTAAGTGCTAGAAATTTGTGTCACGCTGTTCGAATGGGTACAAGCCTACCTTTGCCAATGTAGTTCGATGTGTTTCTTAATAAGTTTGCCATGTTTTACGTTTGATAAATCAAAAAAAAATTCAGCTACTGTACTAAACATGAAAGGCTTCTAGAGCAGACCACATGTTACTTTGAACTCGTTTATAGAAACCTAACTGTTAAAACGTTTGTAATAATCTATAATTTTACTTTTCTGAGTATCATCTAGAAAGCGACATGTAAGCACCAACAAGAAATTGATTCTCAAGCTTGACATTAATTCACCGTGTGGCGGATGTAGGAGCATGTTTACAAATTGCATGTCATTGTTCGTCTTTTACTCAATCGAGGAACGCCTCATACGTCGAAAAAAATTTCAATCCCGTTCTACGCACAGGCTGCACGACGCAAAAATCTCTCCTTCCTATTATTTTTGTCGCGTTTGAGCGCGACGTCTGCGCTTCTGATCCAGATGTATCGAAGACCGATCCGCCTTCCTTTATTAGTGTCATTTCCTCCTGCCCATCACCTTTAAGTAATACCAAGACTGACCTGCGCCAAGGCCAGAGCGATTAAATAGTGTGTCATATAACGTTATTTGGATCCTGATAAGTAAGAAACTGTAAAATAGTAAAAGAGGTGCCTTGCTAGAGCTGTTGAGAAGTTTATGAGAATATTAAGAAAGCAGCGTTGCGGTAGAAGCGTCGAGACACAGTTCTTAGATCACCACAATGAAGAAGCAATTGGTTGTTAAATTTGCCGTAGATCGACAGCCTTATTTACAAAAATAACTGGTGGAGCGAGGAAAACTACGGATTGGTTGGGTGTCGTAACTGTACCTTGAGCTAATGGACGAACTGATAATTTTTTAATTGTCTTAGAAGAAGCTAGACACAATACGTTTTTACGGCCACTCACGCTAAGAAAGATCAAACAATAACATGGGGAGTACAACTCGAAGAGCGTCTACGAACCTAAACACTCATGAAGGGTAAGATATGTTTGAGATGATTGCAAATGTAGACAAAGAATTTGCACGTTTTGTGCGCTGCAAGACCTGCCAGGCCAAAAAATTAATTTGCTCTGGAAAGACGAGAATTATGAAGCAGCGAATGGCTTCGCATCTCATCTTTTAACGCAAGCCTTACAATCTGGCGTGCTCAACGAGGAAAGGAGAACAAACACAAAGGTTACTTCCTGGTCAATTTCGATAACGGCAGGGTCTTCATATTAGTCGTTCAGATTTCCATAGATTTACGCATAGATCGATATGTGGTGTGCGAGGATGACCGTGTTTGTGCGAATGTCCGGAAAAGGCACCAAATTTTGTCACCAATCATAAAGTTTGAATAGAATAATCACCTTTGAGGTGTTCTATAAATCTTACTGAGCATGTTGGAGGGTGCTAAAAGCTTCCCGCACTAACTTTACACATACCTTTAGGCATCCCCAAGGAAGCGGTTTACCGTCCTTTTTAGTGTTCAGATCAGTTCGAGTATGCGTCTTACGAGTGCCTCACCAGTATGTAAACGCGTGTCGCTTCGTGTGGCGCAGACGCGGTTTCTCATCCTCTTAACACACGTCACATAAAAAGATTGCAAATGAAAGACTGTATCATATTTTAAGAATAATGCATAAATTAAATGGCTACTGGATAAATCAGTATGGTGGAGTGGGTTGTCAGAACTTTTTGACGAGACCCTAAACCATTTATTGTGTCGGACTGTCGACTGTCGGAGGGGGCACTTCGATGCCGCTTGTGAACCTTGACTCACCTTGTGTACTTGTCGGCTTGGCGGGTTTCACTCTTTGGAGGACTTGGTGATGATGTAGACGTCGGCCTTATGGACGTCGACCTGGGGGGGGTCCCGAGCGAATGTGCTTCAGTCGGGGTTCGACGTAGGCGGCCACTCGATCGAATTGGTCAAGAGTGGTCTAACAACCAGTTGTCTCAGGTGCTGGTGGCGCCTAGCCTTCATTTCCCGCAGGGATGTTTACCGCCTGGCCTTTACGTGCATTATCCCTTACCACCAGGGTATGGAGGCCGCTTCCTATAGAGGTATTGCGTTAGGGGCTACTCTACGAACCCGCAGGCCAACTTCCTTTCCAGGGTTTTACTTACGCTTGTGCCTTACTGACAACTGTCGATTCGACGGTGGAATAAATAGATCCCTGGCCCGAAACAGGTCGGGAGACTTACAATTTTATCAGCGCACGACACGTCGCTCTACTTAGATCTCAAATTGAGTAGTCTTTGATGTTATCTTATCCTTTAGTCTCCTTTACTCTATCCTTGCCCTACACCTGGGTTCGCTATGATGAGTGTCCAGCAGCCAATAGATCTTGAAAGGCCACGTAGACCTATGGGTAACCAGGTCGGCCGATGGGTGGCCAGGTCGGCCTACGGGTGACTGAGGTCCACCTTGATCCACCAGGGCCGACTGACGAGTCGTTGATAACGATTTACATCGGCAAAGTTTACCTGGTACCGTTGTTTGGTTGATCCCGCTGGCAATAAACCTGACTGCTCGTCACAATTAGACCAAATGGCCGCTCCTTAACTGTGATACCCAAGTCCATGGACCCTTTCCTGGAAGCGTGATCCCATGTTTGTCCGGCTCGTCGACCCTTAGTCGATCATTTCTGAATACTCGCTTCACCACATAAAAAAAGAAGATCAGACGGTTGTTTTATTGATAAGCGGTTTTTACAGCGCGCTATTACTGAACACAAGAGCATTTATGACGCACTTAAATCATATCCTATAACAACGTTAGATATTGATGTCATCCATGTGTGTGGGACACACTTGGTGGTAGGTCCGCAATAGCTCACGTATCAGGTCTTAAAGCGTACCGCAATCAGAACCATTCTCAGAATTTTTCGCGTCGTTACACTGAAAGTCTACTGTAAAGGTTCAACCTAGTTACACCATCATTCATTTTAAATCGGTTGCTCGCAATCTGTAAAACTTGCAACAAGGGAGAAGAATTAACGTTTATTCGTCAACGACGTTTCAGCTTGTCATCTGTGCTTGTTCGTCATTATTGCCTGTGATTGCGCTCTTTCTTAAAGCAAAATCGCACGGCGTCCTTGTTCCATATAAATGTGTTGGGGATGATGAGTCGCCTGCAAATACATCCATATCTATTACCACCCAGCGTGTTTGTAGCGATGAACGACGACTGCACATGATGCTATTCTTTCGAAGCCGACTGCTAGTACAGAAACGCGTCATCGTACGTCATAATGGTCATTTCACGCATTTAACGCATGAATTGACCCCAAATGAATGTAAGACTACAAGACGTCTACTGTCTTGCCGTCACTAATGGAAGATTAAGAAAATAAGCTTATGTGGCACTGATATTTATCGGTAAATATTGTCACCGATGCATAAGCCTATTCTGTAAACAACTCTGGTGAAGTTTCGGTGACTCCACAGTCTGCCAACAACAAGGTTGTTTGTGTCACATCGGCCACTATTAGCTCAACGCTTACAAAAAACTATCAATAGATTATCAGCAGCTTCTTTGAGTGTCAAATTTTCATCCGAACGTCACGACGGCCACAATAAGGAGTCCTAGTTCATCAAAATAGAGCATCAATTCCCTACAGGGACACTGGACCTCCGTCCATCTGTGGCGCAGATGCCCGCCGACTATAAAGCCTTTATGCTTCTCGTAGTATCCCACCGATGCTTCCTCCGACCGAAACGCCATGGTGCATGAAGATGTTGCAACGCTCCTAGAGCGTGCTATTTTTAATGCAAATCAGTACAATAGTGCATTCCTTAAGCGGAAAGAAAAAGGAAATAAACTTGGCCGTACATTCTCGATTTCTGTAATGTCTCAACGAAACAACCTACCAGTACGAAGCATCATTCCTGCACCGAACCATGTTACACCCTGAGTCGTCAAGACGACGTTTGCGACTGATGGACTTCGATCCGAAGCGTGCGCTAAACAAAGTGGGTGCTAACTCACTCCATTTTTCTTTACAATACGCTGCTTACGCGAGTACATTAAATCCTAGCGGAGCGGGTGCAAAGGATAAGCCTGCTCGTAAGCAGCAACCAGCCCATGAACGTCGACACGCAACACGGCAACCGGTTCCCGATTATCTAAATTATGAGAGTGCTTTAACGGGGTAGGCCGTTACATTATTATGACACCAAACGGTGTTAATAGAGATATTGTCTAGCATGACAATATTTTACCAACATCTTCCAAGCTGGGTAATGTTGCAGGAATATTATCTCCTTTAGATAATATTCAAGTGCTGCTCCAAGATTGGTTGATTAAAGACATATCAACCATAGATTACCACCAATCGCTGCTAGACGCGCTCAGTGAGTGGTGAGCAGTTTGTCGTCATACGACGACGTGGTTTAATATAGTTAGACAAGGATTAAAACTATATTGATAGCTTAACTATCTTAAATACAGTTCTCTTTTTACCTTCACTTGAACGAGTAGTTCAAGTAGATTAGCTTCCTCTGCACGTACTAGTGTACGTGAAGTTTCGTAACACCCGGACAAAGGGTGCCCCGTTACACCTGGTAGCACTTTGTAGTCCCTCCAACGACTGCTAAGTGTCCGTCCAACATGAACATGCTGGGCGTAGAAGAAGACAGCTTATACGTCACACATGAAGGCTACTCCCATCTAAATCCCTCAGAATGGGAGGAAGTCGGCCGCATGAGTGTGCTCATGGGCGAACCCGCCATCAGTGGTGTGTTGGATTCTCTAAGCAGAGACCAGCAACATGATGCTATCAACAAGTTCCTACAAGGAGAACTTGC